AAAAAAAAAAATTAAGTTTTAGTCATTTTATGTGCTTTGTAATTTTTATTAATGTTTTTTTTATATGTTTATATACATCTTTTATTTTTATTTCAGTTTTAATTTTAGTTTTTGTATCTCAGTTACCAAGGCAACATTTTTAGTTTTCATTTAAGTTTCATCTAATATTTGTTTAATTTTATTTCAGATGTAGTTAACAATAGGAACATTTTTTTTTGTATCTTTTATCTATATATTTCATATAGGCAATGCTGTAATTTTCATGTTGAGATTTTAGTAGTAAAACAATATTTTATCCAATATAAATGTTTTGTTTATGTTTTCGAGTGACTGGAGCATCCTGAGGTTAGTCATTATCTATAATATGTGTTAATAATATGTATCTATACTATATTATTATATGATCTATATGATTATTTTGGACATTAGCTTTGCGTTCAACACAAGACTGTGTCCTGTATGAACACCCAGTATGCATCACATGTTCCTCTGGTCCTCATGTTGCTGTGAAAGCGGCTTATTTTTGTTGCTTTCTAATTAGCCGCCTCGTCAAGAGAGGGCGGGGTTTGTCACACATGAGGGTCTACGGCTAGGCGACTTATGTAAGAATCGAACACAGCGTTGGGCACATGCACATCGGATGTGGGATATTGTGAGCAGGAGCTTCCCGTCGGGTCTGTCTGCTTCCTTGGCTGAGATGCAGCTTCATACTCGGGTGTGTAATAATTGATACTTTCACGTACTTATGGAAGTCTTTTCTTGATGTTGACTCAAAGCATTTAAGAAGTTACAGTTTTTGAAATATTCATCGGATATACGCCAGGTTTGTGTTTGCTCACTGCGGCATGTGATGCTTCCAGGAAACGTTGAAAATGTTAGGGTGACGCACTATTAAGGGCACTAGCGTGGCTGAATCTGACAGTTTAGTTGCACAACGTTTGATTAATGTATTCGTTGCCTATGTAATGCCTGCCGCAAATGAATACTAGTGCTGTATTACTTACTATGATAATAACCAATGCAGTGCTGTTTAGCATTTAATTTTATATATATCAAAAAATTATACAGTGGCTGCAAAATTATGTGGATAAAAGTCTCACTTAAAAATGTCAATGCATTACACACAAAGTATCACAAGTTCAAAACACTTTGTCTTCATTTTTTTATCTATTGTTTTATAATTTCAAGCTAAAGAAGCTAGCAAATAAATATGCTTTTTGTAAAATATTTTTTTTTTGTAAAAAAAAAAAAGTAAAACAAATTTGTAAAAAAATTAAAACCATTTTTGTAGTAGGAATAAACTCATACCCGGTGCTCTGAATTTTTATTACATTTGGTCCATGTTGGATGATACATATAGATGCTAAAATTGTTTTTGATATTTATTTATTTATTTAATGCAGTCATGTTTAGGCATTTTAAGCATGGTTTAAGTGTACTTTTTAGGGCTTCAGTATAAAACAATAAATATTTTTATTATGTAAAAAGAAATACTATTAAAGTTTCTTTCTTTTTTTTTTGATTGATTTTTATTTTTGCATTTTCCGTTTTCATTTTAGTTGTTTTAGTAATTTTGTTGTATTTTTGTCATTTGTATTATTATTATTTTTTATTTAACTTTAACTAAAACTGAAATAAAAAAATTACTGAAAATAAACAATAAACTAATTATTATTATTATTATTAGTATTTAAAAAATTATATTTCAAGTACCAAAAATCGTTTTTATGGTTTAGTTAACTATAACAATTTTCTTTTTAACATTTTCAGGGGCTGATGGGAAACAAAAGTAATTGCTTTTTTTTTTACATTTTTACATGAAAACAATTTCAAAACAGGAATATTCACATGCACTTGAATCTTTGAGTTTTGCTTGCATTTGGTTGATGTTTGGTAATACACAGATGATCAGACATGTTTGTGGGCCTTTTTGAGGTGTGCCAGTTTACTGAGAATGTGCCAACACATCATAGTTATGATACTTTGAGCATGCAAGTGATTTTAGTCTGAATAAAGTGGACAATCCTTCAAGAAAGCCCAGTTTTCCACTGCTAAATATGATGCTGCGTTGCTGTTCAAAGCAGCATGTTTTCTTTCTCTCAGTCGTGCTGTGATTGGTCGAATCACTCTTTGCTCGCCGGCTCTTAGTCTTAAAATAGAAGCAACATCTTTCAAAATAAATAAAATGAACAAATCTGCTGTTGAGCAGAAGTGTTTGTGCCCGGGGCTTTCAGAGGCTTGATCTGTGATTGGCGGTGGACGAGACGAGTGACTTCTGAAGAGTGTTTGTGGTCTGAGCTGTGAGCAGCACTGAGCGCTGAATGATCTGCAGCGTGTCGCTGGGAGTCTGTGCTGACAGACAGCGTATGGGTGAGCTGAGGATTCGTGTGAGCGCCGCCTGTGTCACGTGGACACAAATCACAGCAGCCGACCGTCCGGTGCTTTCTCTGTTTGTAAGCAGGATTTCTGAGACATGCATTTGATTAAATATGCGTCTCCTTAATCGGATATTAGACATTTGCCATTAAATCTGGTATTCATTGCAGTTTTGTCTTACCAAAAACCACCAACATAGATCGGAAGAGACCGTCTGACTCACAGACATTGTAAAAAATGATTTTTCCAAGTTGTAAATAAAGATTATGGAACGTTTTACAAGAAAAGTCTTTCCACCTCAAAATGTCATGTCATTTGGCATTTCTTTGCAATTATGCTGAAATTACTAGCAATTTTTAAGTGAAAATTGAATCCTACACCCAATTATTTTTTATTATTTAAGCCATCTGGCCACAGTTTGAGTCCTTCTTTTTTTCACAGATATAACTCAGAAAACAAAGCAAAATATGCCGTTCTGCTTGTCAGAATCTAATTTCCTTTATACTGAGATTATCTGCTGATTCTGGCCTTTGTTTCTAGTGTTTTGTAACAACAAGAGAGATCAGATCAGGGCCAGCTGGATCAGCGCCTCCTTTAAATCTTGCAATCCTTCTCTATTAGTGCAGCGGACCATTTATAATTACAGAGAAATTAGAGCGCTTACGTATTCTGGAGTCTTTGTTAAGTAGGACATTTTTCAAATCCCGTTCGAGGTGTCGGAGTCAGAAAATGGAAATGAAATGGCTGTGCATTGGGTTTCTGCTATCATTTAACACCACAGTCCCAATCAAATAAACACACCACAGTTTACATAAGAGACACACGGGCTTCACTCCAAAACCTTGTAGGCTGCCTGTGTTGGCAGCGTATAAACGCATCAACACGAAGAACACAGAAAGGTGTATAGAGATGCCAAAACCAGCAGCCGCAGGCCAGAGTTGACCTGATGACCTTTGGTTTGGTCCAGCATGCCGTATTACAAGAGGAAGGGAAAAATTCCATGCATTAAAGCACATTTATATTTATGTTTTAATTTTTAGTCTTTTTGTTTATTTTTGCA